TTGGCCTATACTCATGGATGTGTTGTTGTTGTTATGTGCCGTTGAATTGGTTCAGACTCATAGCGACCCTGTGTAGGGTTTCTGAGGAGCAGCTGGTGAACTTGAACTGCCAACCTTGCAGTTCAAATGGCTTTGCAATCTGGTGCATTAACCCACAGTGCTACACCAGGACTCTACTTATGGATGTAATAGCTCAAAATACCAACTGAGAGGGAAGGTGTCTTCACATCAAGGATGAAGCCTATCCCCTCTGTACACAGGGTTTATAGGGATGGGCAACTTAAGCATTGGCTACCTAAAATGGTGGTGGGCTATAAAGGCACAAAGTGGCTGGCTTACAAATTTTCAAGAAGGAGTTTAATTTCAGAGTGTGTGGGGTAAGGTAGAATCCCCACTGAACAGTTTTCCTTTTGTCTAGATGGGTTTGGTGAAAGGAAATAGGGATGGGATTCATTGATTCAATATTGAGTAGTTATCATCATACCTAATTGTCACAACTGTAAAGGCAGACGATGTGTCACAAAAAGAGGGAATAGTTACTCTTACATTCCAGGGAACAGAGGACCCTAGGACCACCAAGAGAGAAGACCATGAGCGGAATACAGGATCCTAACCAGAGAAGCAGCGACCCCAGAAATGGAGGCAGAGGTGATGGCATGGAGAGACTGAGCAGCTGAGGACTCTAGATTCATGAAAAGAGAAAGTCAATGTGCTGGCAGCCAGGAAAGTGGCTCCCAGAATATGACCTGTGGTTGTTTAAACAATTATATATCCCTGAAAAAAAACCCACCTCACTTATATAACACAATAATTATAAACATTTAACTGTGTACTTCCTTTATTTTTATTTCCTATTGAATTGCTTGTCCTACAAAATAGGTTGCAGCCATAATCCTTGTATGTGTGAACATGACCTTGTTTAGAAATAGGATATCTGAAGATGTTATAAGTTATATTAACATGATGTCAGACTAAAACAGAATGGGTTTTAATCCCATCAGAGTTGTGTCCTTTAAAAAAAGAAGAGCCTTGAAATATCTCAAAACTAAAAAAATTAAATAGAACAACAATTTAAAAAATTAAGTAATCAGAAATAAGTTAATTCAGATAGATGTATTCAGAAACAGATGCTGAGGTTAAAGCGTGTGACTTAAAAGTCAATACAGCGTCCTTTTCTTTCCCAATCGCCATATCGCGTAGGTTCTGGGCCTCTGGGTCCACCCTTTTCTTTGGTAACAGGATTAACACCATCTGGAAATTCTAAAGAAAGAAGATGTAAACAAAGCAGTTAACAGAGATGGTCAATTTTGAATAGGGGGTTGCAGAGATGCACAGTTAACTGACTAACTATGTCACTATATAGTTTTGTTGTTAATAATTCTGTAAAGATTTCATGGCTTTTCTTATTTTTCATTACAACCACCATTAATTCCAAACAGGAGTAAGCAGCCATTACAGTGGTCATTTTTGATTCACTAAGCATGGTGTAGAATCCTGGTGTGGCACTGTAGGATCAGCACTGGACTACAAACCAGAAGGGCGGAAGTTCAAACCCACCAGCTGCCCCTTGGAAACCCTGTACATGGTCGCTATAAATCAGAACCAACTTGACAGCACTTAACAACAATAAGAACAAGCATAATGTGCCACCGTACTTCAAGCTCTGGATGGTCAACCACAAGGTCAATGGTTTGAGTCTGCTGGCCTCTCTCTGCGGGAGAAAGATGAGGCTTTCTGATTCTGCAAAGATACACCAGAACAGACTAGAGGGCACTTAATAACAACAACAACAATTACTTTAAAACAAAGACAGCTCCCTGCTGTCATCTCCAAATGTCTATGAAGCAATGTGATAAACTTGGGGTTTGCTGAATGACTGAGATCATCCCCTCTATGATCTGAGTCATAAGCCACTTCAAGTTCAAATTCAGGCCGTCCGCAGTTAGGTTCTCTCCAAAGGCATTCAGCTATAGCATATCTCTCTTGTCACATGGTCTATCTGTTTAAAGCCTGAACTTACACACGAGCAATTAATGGTCTGTTCAGCAGTCTGCCACTGGTAATGTTTTGGTTGATGATATGAAGCTTTCCCAACGTCTCTTCCCACAGATGTAGTCAATTATATTTGTTTCCAACCCCCAGTAGTTACCAATACATCTTGACTGCATGTTGGATCAATTTCAGACTGAAGAAGTTGGTAGAACTCTTCAATTTCATCATCATTGGCTTTACTAATTGGCATGTAAATTTGAATAATAGTGGTATTAGCTGGTCCTCTTTATAGGCGTATGGATATTATCTTATCACAGATAGCACTGTACTTCTAGATCTTGAAATGTTCTTTTTGATGATGAATGTGAGACCATTCCTCTTTAATTTGCTGGTCACAGCACAGTAAACCATGACTGTCAGATTTAAAATGGCCAATACCAATACCAGTCCATTTCAGCTCACCAATGCCTAGGATGTTGATCTTCATGCATTCTATTTCATTTTTGGACAACTTACAATTTCCCTAGATTCATACTTCATACATTGCATGTTCTGAATATTTATGGATGTTTGCTACAGCTTCTCTTCATTTTGAGTTGTGTCCCAGGAGTAAATGAAGGTTCCAAAAGCTTTACTCCATTTGCTTCATCACGGTCAACTTTACTTTGAGTGGGCAGCTTTTCCCCAGTGGTACTTTGATTGCTTTCCAACCTGACAGGCTCATCTTCTGGCACTATATCTGACAATATTCTGGTGCTTTTCATGATGTTTTCAACTTCTGGCACTATATTTGAAGATGTTCCACTGCTATTCTTAAGGTTTTCAGTGGCTAGACGTTCATAAATAGCCTGTCTTAGTTTGGAAGCTCAGCTAAAACCTGTCCATCGTGGATGACCCTGCTGTATATAAGATACTGGTGGCACAGCTTTGAGAATCTCAGTACCACGCAAATCACCACAGTACAACAAACTGACAGACAAATGGTGGTGTATACAGTTATAAAGCAATAAGCATTTGTTAAAAACACATTTAATTGTCCACTTGAAATGGGCACATTTGATTGTATGTAGATTATACCTCAATTGATTTTTAAAATCCTAACCAAAAAAGCTTGGTGTTCTCCTCATTGCCTACTACATACAGCTGTACATATGCTATAACTTGGTATTTCAGGCTCTCTCAAACCAAACCTACCTCTCTGGTCTCCTAAAATATTAGCCGACCATATAACCTTCATGTTGCAATCAAAGAGGTCTCTAGCTATATTTTGAAAGTGTCATGTTTCCCAGCCTTTCTCTTGGACCATGTCTTTTTCTTTCTCTTACTTAATCATTTTAAAGTGTACAATTAAATTCATTTTGTTATCCAATCATGACCATTATTTTCAAAACTTTTTCCTCACCCCAAAGAGAAATTCAGTATTCTTTTAAACAGTGACTTCCATTATCCCATCCCCACAGCCCACATAACCACTAACAAGCTTTTGTCTCTATGCATATGCTAATTCTAGATACTCATCTAAGTGGGATCTTTCATGACTTCTTTTATGCCTTATTTATTATATTTAGCATGTTCTTAAGGTTCATCCGTGTTGTAGCACATATCAGAACTTAACTTCTTTTTATGCTGAATAATCTTCCATTGTATGCATACTAACACATTTGTTAGTCCATTCATGATTGGAAACACATGGGTAGTTTGCACTTTTTAGTTACTGTGATAAATGCTTCCATGAACTTTAGTGTATTTAAGTATTTGCTTGAGTTCCTACTCTCAAATATTTTGGATGTTACCTAGGAGTGGAACTGCTATGTCATAAGGTAATTCTCAGGAGCCCTGATGGTGCTGTTGGTTAGATGTTGGGCTGTTAACCACAAGGTTGGAGGTTCAAAACCACCAGCCATTCCAAGGGGGAAAAGACTGTCTGCTCCCGTAAAGATTTAGTCTCAGAAATCTTATATAGGATCCCTATGAGTTGGAGCTGATTTGATCACAGTAGGTTCGGGATTTTGTGGTTTATGGCAATTCTATGTCTAATTTTTTTTCTTTTTTAAAAAATATTTTACTGTAAATTATGTGATAGTTTACATGGGTGTATGTCTAACTTTTTGAGGAACCTCCAAACTGTTTTTCACAGTAGCCATGCCATTTTACATTCCCACCAGCAATGCATGAGGGTTCCATTTTCTCTTGCCAACACATACTGTTTTCCATTTTTCTCCTAATAGCTAGCTAGTGGGAATGCAGTGGTATCTCACTATAGCTTTGATTTGCATTATGGCACCATAGGATATGAAGTTGAACTCAAAATCAGTTAGAACTGTAAGCTCAGCAGTTCAAACTTACCAGCTGCTCCTTGGAAACCCTATGCAGGGTGGTTATGAATCATAACTGACTTAATAGCACTTAACGACATCAATGACTAACAAAGGAGACCTGGTGTTGCAGCAGGTTAATCACTGGGCTGCTAACTGAAAGGCCCTCCAGCTACTCCATGGAACAAAGATGAGGCAGTTTGCTCCCATAAAGATTTATAGTCTCAGAAATCCTATGGAACAATCCCATCTCATAAGGTTGCTGTGATTCAGAATCGACTTAATGGCAGTGGTAATGACTAACAATATTGAGCATTTTTATGTAGTTACTAAAGATATTGAACACTTTTTCATGTGCTTTTTGGTTGTGTATGTATCTTTTTTGTAGAAACATGTTCAAGTCCTTTGTCCTTTTTCCCCCCTTTCTTTTTAATTTTTTTGCCTGTTATGAAATTGATTGAAGTTCTGAAAGACTTCATTTTGCTCAGATCAACACTCATGGAAGCAGCAGTCAAGAAATCAAATGACATACTGCATTGGACAGATCTGCTGCACAAGACCTCTTTCAAGTGTTGAAGAGCAAAGATGCCAGTTTGAGGACTAAGGCACACCTGATCCAAGCCATAAAATTTCAATAATCTTATATATATGTGAAGTTAAGACAGTGAAAAAAAAAAAAAAGTTAGACAGTCAATAAGAAAGACCATAGAAGAAATGATGCCTTTGAGTTATGGTGAGAGAATACTGAAAGTACCATGGACTGCCAAAAGAACAAACCAATCTATGTTAGAAGAAGTACAACTATAATGCTTCTTGGAAGCCAACATGGCCAGACTTTCTCTCTCACACTTCGGACTTATTGTCAGGAGAGACCAGTCACTGTAGAAGGATATAATGTTTGGTAAAATGGTTGGAGATAAAAAGATGACCCCCAACGAGAGGGATTGTCACTATGGCCGCAGAGTCACTTGTGGTCTCAAGTGTAGCAAAGAATGTGAGGTTGGTGCAAGACCAGGCAGTGTTTTGTTTTGTTGTGCATAGGGACACTGTGAGTTGGTACCAACACGATGGCAGCTAACAACAACAAATATAGGGTGTATCTTGTATCTTGAGTAGATCTCTTTTGAGATAAAAAAGATTAAAACAGGCAAGAAGTTCTACTCTAACACAAATGGTGTTGCCATGAGTTGGAATCAACTTGACAACAACTAGTTTTAACCCAGTACAATCTGTTGCTGCTGTTAAGTACCATTGAGTCAGTTGCAACTCATAGTGACACTGTATGGTACAATCAGTAGGGCTTAGTTTATTTGATAGATGAGTTAGACCAGGAGGAATCCAGGAATAAGAGGAGGATATGGTATAGGGTTAAAGGAGGAGTGATGGTGAGTGTAAACAATGAACAAAGGAAGAATTTCATTTTAGACATATTGTGTGAATTACCAATGCATACATGATTTTTAAAAATCATACTGTTGTTAAGTGTCGTTGAGTCAGTTTCGACTCATGGCAACTCTGTAAAGGGTTTCCAAGGAGCAGCTGATGGGTTTGAACCATTAACCTTGTGGTTAGCATTCCTTTGTTGATCGTACAGTGCCACACCAGGACTCCGTGGCACAGGATCTCCCTTGGGAAACTTAGGGACTGGTAATAGAGGCTCAGTAAACATTCATGTTAAGGAGCTGGGCAGTCAGAAGGGCTTATGAGGGACCCAGTAAAAATGGTTGAAGAAATGGTGTAAGAAACTGGAAAGAGGCTAACTGAAACCAAGCAGAAAATTTCAAGGAGAAGCAACAGTTCAAATAAAATGAGGATTGAAAAGTATCTGCTAACAAAGGCAAGAAGTGACTGGCTTACAAGCTTTCAAGAGGGAACCTAGATCCAGAGGGCCTGGAGGAAGGTAGAATCTCCAGTGAGTAGTATTCAATCTGACTAGGCAGGGCTGATGCAATG